CGAATTTCTCAGGGATAATGAGCAATTGTCCGATATGTCCGCCATGGCATCCCTTCAAGTGATGCCACAGGTCCTAGGGAACGAAACCCCCATTAGAGTCACTCAAAAGGGTATTCCACAGTCCGGACCACCGGCACCGACTGATGCTGCAGTTCTTGTACCTGCGACACCAAAACCCTTACAGGTGATTTGTACAACAATCCTAATTGTTACCAATTTACAACCCTAAATTGTTTGTACAACATGCATGTAGAACAAGCATAAATCCCAACCACAGCCACATCACATCCTCAACCACATCCACACACACATGCTCGCAGGCGAGACAAACTGGGCCCAAACCAGCTGGCAATTAAAGCCGCTGAGCTTGAGCTTACCCACACACGCACCCACAACCTCGTACAGGTGAATCCCATTGTGATGGCCCTCATCAAACAGTTGGTTATTGTTTTCCCTGTGTTACCCATTCCCAGACCCATTCCCATAATCGACTTAACCATTGCGACTATAAATCAATGGGCATTGGCGTCCAGTGTCGGACATTTTGTTAAATTTTTTTACAATGCGGCTTTGCTATACAGGTTAAAAAAATAAAACATAATTGATGCTATTGATATTATTTTTGTTGTATATTTAATGCCTGCTCGTAAATATTTTATAGGGAATTTTTAATACAAAGTTACTGTACAAAAATACTGTACAAAATTCAGTTTGTAAAAATTATATGGTACGAAAAAGCATTAAAATGATTTTTATCACATTTTCAAATAGTTTATGGACTCTTGTTTTTATTAAAATCCAATTGTTTTTACTGTACTAGTGGCATCGCGGCTGTTGAATTTATGTTAACCAAAAGCCTTTCTCAATGTTTGCCTTGGCTGCGCCACTGGATGTGTCCTGCTGCTGCCGCTGTTGCTAATGAGCTGTAACCAAAGGCAACAGAAGCGACCACGAGCCAAGCCAGCAATACATTAATACATTTACAGCAAATTGAATTCTACAATAACTACAGCCACGGCAGACACACATGAGAAAGCCCGCCGGCCGTCAATCACACTCATACACACACACCGGCAAACTTTGGAGAAAGGACCTGATGAAGGGGATGAGGTGAAGCAATGTGTCGTGAGCTGTCGCCATTGTGACTTTTATTGCAGGAGGCAGTTGGCGTTCCTGTTGCCGGTCCTGCTACTGCCACTGTTTCCACTGCAATTATCAGCTGTAGCTGACACCTATACCAATACAAAAACACTTTAAAAAAATTTGATTACCAAGGAAAAAAAGTTAAGAAAAATATACTACATAAGCTACATAAATAATTGTAAAATAGTAGGCCATTTTGGTACGTTATAGTTTTTTGACATATGAAAATTTATCTACGCATTTAAATTTGATAATTTTTTGCTCACGAAGACAATTTGTCTCGGGCCCACAAAGGTTCTACGGGCAGAGAAAGGACGGAGAAACAGGAGCTGGCAGCTTTAATTGCACAGAACAAAAAACCAGGCTGAGAAAAAACATTGCACTATGTGCCGGCAAACAGCACAAAAAGCCAATTTGGCTTTTGGCTAACACAGGGTCTGAGGACTGAGGGCAGCAAAAGGGACTGAGGGCATAAAAGTAAAAGCCAAATAGCAAAGCTTTCTTTCTTTTCGCACTTGTTGGGAAACACGGTTAACTCAGCGTTGCCAGATAACTAAACACATTTAAGAAAAACAAACTTTGTTTTAAAATGTCGGCATAAGCACATTGTGAACAGTTGTAATATATTGCCAACAATTAAAATTAAGCTACATTTGTTTGTAATGGAGATTACAGCTACTGATTGAGCATATGTCTCTTGTTATATCTTTGGGCATTTGCCGATTTGTTACGTTAGATTTTGAAATTAATTAACAATTAAACGGGAGTAATGTTTAAAAATTACATGAACAATTTGAATGACTTTCGGTGGGAGTGGTTCCATCCTTGTTGCAAAAGTCACACTTAATGATAGCCGCAGATGGATTAGCAATCGCCGGCTCCGATACACAAGTCCTTTTCTTGGAAAAGTTCGGCATTGGTTGATCAGTTACACGCTTTTCATCAGTGCCGTTGGTATTCACATTTGCTATGTCGTCCTGATATTCTTTAAGACGACGGTTGTATTCGCTCCTCGCCTTAGCCGCCTTCTTCTTCCACAAAGACTTTTTCTCATCGGACATCTGACGCCATATTTTGCCACCTAGGGATGCTACCTCAGTCGCCTTATAGTTTGGGAATTGTTTTTTTATCCTTGCTCGCCCGCAAGTACTCATCCAGATCAAAAAGGAACCCATTGGTTTTTTTGGGGGAGGTCCACACCGAGAAGCCATTGCTTATCTAGGTAAAAAAAAAAAAAAAAAATATTCACATTTCAGAAATTTTTTTTATGCCGTTTGAAAACTTACTTCAAAAAATTTAGATCGTTAATAAAATAAAATTCGGTATACTTTTTCGTTGTGACCTCAAAAAGTGTAAAACTGTCGTGTTGACTCTATGAAATCTCACAACAGACTGAATATTTTATGAGGCTCTCTAAACTACCCAAAATCAGTTGGATGAAATGGACTACTAGATTGAAAAATTTTTTAGATTTCGCAGATTACTTGATTTAATCTTTATTCTTTATTATCCTTATGTTTCGATAAACTCTCAAGGATTTTTCGGCATTAAAGTTTGTTTAAAAAAGTTTTTCGCTTAAATCTGGAGGTAACGTTTTAAACAATTTTCGTGCTCCAGGAGCAATGACTTATTCAAAAAAAAAAAAATTATAAAATTTACTATTCTCAAAGAGAGATAAGCAAGCGAAAACTATTTACCAAATCATCAAAAACCTTAAGTTATCAAAAAACTATCATAAACCTGCCTAAAATTGAATTTTAGGTATTATTTTTTTTCAAATTTATTTTTTGAATTTGAATTTTTTAATATTTTTTTTTAAATTTTTTGGATATTGAAATAATAAATGAAATGACCTTTAAATATGTAAAAATTTCTTGAACTTTTTACACGATTATTTTACATGAAGCGAATTGACAAAAGTGCGTCATGGTCACTCTGAAATCAATCGAAAAGTGAGTCAGGCGGTTCTCGTGCGGTTTCCAGTATTTGATTTATCTCGTTTTTTATTAAAAGTCGCCAAAACACAGAAGAAAATGTCGACCCTGGCCACTCCTTTGTCCATTGCCGGCACCCGTCAATCGGGCGCCTCTGTGCGCACTCAGAACGGTAAGAAACTGATGCATTTGGCAACAGCTGCACAGCGTCGACCGGCGGAGCACGTTTCTTGCTGATCTAATGGTCACACGCCGGGGAGAATGTTCGGGAACAAAAGAGACATGGGCTTTTTCGACGGGATTGTAGTTTTTCCTTAAGATATTCCTGACCTTCAAACTGAAGAAAACCTCAATTTCATCAAAACATGACAAAGTGAGGTTATGACTAAAGGATATTTTCCCCTCTTCCTGTAGTTATGGCTGCCTTGTCCATATCCAACATCGTAAAGAGTTCCCTGGGACCGGTAGGTCTGGACAAAATGCTGGTGGACGACATTGGCGATGTTACAGTGACGAACAGACTTCCCTCTCTTTCTTTCAAGCGAACGGTCGTGTTTTTTTTGTGCGCACTGCGTTTTATTAAAAATATTGGTAAACCGGTGTTTACATACTTGTGAATTAAATCTTGTGAATCTTAACAATCTTAAAGCCTAAACCGTATCGCTTCGCGAGTGCTGTGGTATATTTGGAGTCGAATTAATAATTTGCCTAAATTCTATTCCAAGCATAGCTCAGCTCTGCTTCTTCCCCGGCTTATCTATATTTCTGCACTTCTCTTTTGCACTCTTTCAAAGCTCCCGCTTCGGCTTCTTGTTTGGCACAGTGGTTCAAGGTATTGTGTTTTTTAACTTTTTAAATATTAATTTTTGTTTTATTAAATAAAAAAAATAAATAAATAAATAAAATGGAATTTAAACTGGTCTGTGCCATTAAGTCTTGTAACAAGACAATTTCCACATCCCAGCCTAGCATCCATTGCTGGTTATGTGAAAACGTCGTGCACGCCAAGTGTGCCGGTTTCACTGCATCAGTTTCGGATGCCATTTCCCGTAGGTCTGGGATACATTATTGTTGTGAGAATTGTCGTGCTGTGCAAGGCGAAATGAGGTCGTTCATGAGACAGACAAAAAATGGATTTAAAGAGCTGATCACTGGTTTTCGTAAAATCAATGAACAGCTCTGTGCGCTGGACACTCAGTTTAGTGGCCTTCAGCTGCTAAATGAGTCCCCTAAGCGTAAGAAATCCGCTGTTTCTGATCCGCCTCAGCCTGCTCAGCCGACATTAATGCAGCCGCTTTTTTTTTACCTGCCACCCCAAGGGCTAGAACTGAGAAAAATTCGTCCGAATTTCTCAGGGATAATGAGCAATTGTCCGATATGTCCGCCATGGCATCCCTTCAAGTGATGCCACAAGTCCTAGGGAACGAAACCCCCACAGTCCGGACCACCGGCACCGACTGATGCTGCAGTTCTTGTACCTGCGACACCAAAACCCTTACAGGTGATTTGTACAACAATCCTAATTGTTACCAATTTACAACCCTAAATTGTTTGTACAACATGCATGTAGAACAAGCATAAATCCCAACCACAGCCACATCACATCCTCAACCACATCCACACACACATGCTCGCAGGCGAGACAAACTGGGCCCAAACCAGCTGGCAATTAAAGCCGCTGAGCTTGAGCTTACCCACACACGCACCCACAACCTCGTACAGGTGAATCCCATTGTGATGGCCCTCATCAAACAGTTGGTTATTGTTTTCCCTGTGTTACCCATTCCCAGACCCATTCCCATAATCGACTTAACCATTGCGACTATAAATCAATGGGCATTGGCGTCCAGTGTCGGACATTTTGTTAAATTTTTTTACAATGCGGCTTTGCTATACAGGTTAAAAAAAATAAAACATAATTGATGCTATTGATATTATTTTTGTTGTATATTTAATGCCTGCTCGTAAATATTTTATAGGGAATTTTTAATACAAAGTTACTGTACAAAAATACTGTACAAAATTCAGTTTGTAAAAATTATATGGTACGAAAAAGCATTAAAATGATTTTTATCACATTTTCAAATAGTTTATGGACTCTTGTTTTTATTAAAATCCAATTGTTTTTACTGTACTAGTGGCATCGCGGCTGTTGAATTTATGTTAACCAAAAGCCTTTCTGTTTGCCTTGGCTGCGCCACTGGATGTGTACTGCTGCTGCCGCTGTTGCTAATGAGCTGTAACCAAAGGCAACAGAAGCGACCACGAGCCAAGCCAGCAATACATTTACAGCAAATTGAATTCTACAATAACTACAGCCACGGCAGACAAACATGAGAAAGCCCGCCGGCCGTCAATCACACTCATACACACACACCGGCAAACTTTGGAGAAAGGACCTGATGAAGGGGATGAGGTGAAGCAATGTGTCGTGAGCTGTCGCCATTGTGACTTTTATTGCAGGAGGCAGTTGGCGTTCCTGTTGCCGGTCCTGCTACTGCCACTGTTTCCACTGCAATTATCAGCTGTAGCTGACACCTATACCAATACAAAAACACTTTAAAAAAATTTGATTACCAAGGAAAAAAAGTTAAGAAAAATATACTACATAAGCTACATAAATAATTGTAAAATAGTAGGCCATTTTGGTACGTTATAGTTTTTTGACATATGAAAATTTATCTACGCATTTAAATTTGATAATTTTTTCCACTGCAAGTCCATGTGCTCACGAAGACAATTTGTCTCGGGCCCACAAAGGTTCTACGGGCAGAGAAAGGACGGAGAAACAGGAGCTGGCAGCTTTAATTGCACAGAACAAAAAACCAGGCTGAGAAAAAACATTGCACTATGTGCCGGCAAACAGCACAAAAAGCCAATTTGGCTTTTGGCTAACACAGGGTCTGAGGACTGAGGGCAGCAAAAGGGACTGAGGGCATAAAAGTAAAAGCCAAATAGCAAAGCTTTCTTTCTTTTCGCACTTGTTGGGAAACACGGTTAACTCAGCGTTGCCAGATAACTAAACACATTTAAGAAAAACAAACTTTGTTTTAAAATGTCGGCATAAGCACATTGTGAACAGTTGTAATATATTGCCAACAATTAAAATTAAGCTACATTTGTTTGTAATGGAGATTACAGCTACTGATTGAGCATATGTCTCTTGTTATATCTTTGGGCATTTGCCGATTTGTTACGTTAGATTTTGAAATTAATTAACAATTAAACGGGAGTAATGTTTAAAAATTACATGAACAATTTGAATGACTTTCGGTGGGAGTGGTTCCATCCTTGTTGCAAAAGTCACACTTAATGATAGCCGCAGATGGATTAGCAATCGCCGGCTCCGATACACAAGTCCTTTTCTTGGAAAAGTTCCGCATTGGTTGATCAGTTACACGCTTTTCATCAGTGCCGTTGGTATTCACATTTGCTATGTCGTCCTTATATTCTTTAAGACGACGGTTGTATTCGCTCCTCGCCTTAGCCGCCTTCTTCTTCCACAAAGACTTTTTCTCATCGGACATCTGACGCCATATTTTGCCACCTAGGGATGCTACCTCAGTCGCCTTATAGTTTGGGAATTGTTTTTTTATCCTTGCTCGCCCGCAAGTACTCATCCAGATCAAAAAGGAACCCACTGGTTTTTTTGGGGGAGGTCCACACCGAGAAGCCATTGCTTATCTAGGTAAAAAAAAAAAAAATATTCACATTTCAGAAATTTTTTTTTATGCCGTTTGAAAACTTACTTCAAAAAATTTAGATCGTTAATAAAATAAAATTCGGTATACTTTTTCGTTGTGACCTCAAAAAGTGTAAAACTGTCGTGTTGACTCTATGAAATCTCACAACAGACTGAATATTTTATGAGGCTCTCTAAACTACCCAAAATCAGTTGGATGAAATGGACTACTAGATTGAAAAATTTTTTAGATTTCGCAGATTACTTGATTTAATCTTTATTCTTTATTATCCTTATGTTTCGATAAACTCTCAAGGATTTTTCGGCATTAAAGTTTGTTTAAAAAAGTTTTTCGCTTAAATCTGGAGGTAACGTTTTAAACAATTTTCGTGCTCCAGGAGCAATGACTTATTCAAAAAAAAAAAAAAATATCATAAAATTTACTATTCTCAAAGAGAGATAAGCAAGCGAAAACTATTTACCAAATCATCAAAAACCTTAAGTTATCAAAAAACTATCATAAACCTGCCTAAAATTGAATTTTAGGTATTATTTTTTTTCAAATTTATTTTTTAAATTTGAATTTTTTAATATTTTTTTTTTAATTTTTTGGATATTGAAATAGTAAATGAAATGACCTTTAAATATGTAAAAATTTCTTGAACTTTTTACACGATTATTTTACATGAAGCGAATTGACAAAAGTGCGTCATGGTCACTCTGAAATCAATCGAAAAGTGAGTCAGGCGGTTCTCGTGCGGTTTCCAGTATTTGATTTATCTCGTTTTTTATTAAAAGTCGCCAAAACACAGAAGAAAATGTCGACCCTGGCCACTCCTTTGTCCATTGCCGGCACCCGTCAATCGGGCGCCTCTGTGCGCACTCAGAACGGTAAGAAACTGATGCATTTGGCAACAGCTGCACAGCGTCGACCGGCGGAGCACGTTTCTTGCTGATCTAATGGTCACACGCCGGGGAGAATGTTCGGGAACAAAAGAGACATGGGCTTTTTCGACGGGATTGTAGTTTTTCCTTAAGATATTCCTGACCTTCAAACTGAAGAAAACCTCAATTTCATCAAAACATGACAAAGTGAGGTTATGACTAAAGGATATTTTCCCCTCTTCCTGTAGTTATGGCTGCCTTGTCCATATCCAACATCGTAAAGAGTTCCCTGGGACCGGTAGGTCTGGACAAAATGCTGGTGGACGACATTGGCGATGTTACAGTGACGAACAGACTTCCCTCTCTTTCTTTCAAGCGAACGGTCGTGTTTTTTTTGTGCGCACTGCGTTTTATTAAAAATATTGGTAAACCGGTGTTTACATACTTGTGAATTAAATCTTGTGAATCTTAACAATCTTAAAGCCTAAACCGTATCGCTTCGCGAGTGCTGTGGTATATTTGGAGTCGAATTAATAATTTGCCTAAATTCTATTCCAAGCATAGCTCAGCTCTGCTTCTTCCCCGGCTTATCTATATTTCTGCACTTCTCTTTTGCACTCTTTCAAAGCTCCCGCTTCGGCTTCTTGTTTGGCACAGTGGTTCAAGGTATTGTGTTTTTTAACTTTTTAAATATTAATTTTTGTTTTATTAAATAAAAAAAATAAATAAATAAATAAAATGGAATTTAAACTGGTCTGTGCCATTAAGTCTTGTAACAAGACAATTTCCACATCCCAGCCTAGCATCCATTGCTGGTTATGTGAAAACGTCGTGCACGCCAAGTGTGCCGGTTTCACTGCATCAGTTTCGGATGCCATTTCCCGTAGGTCTGGGATACATTATTGTTGTGAGAATTGTCGTGCTGTGCAAGGCGAAATGAGGTCGTTCATGAGACAGACCAAAAATGGATTTAAAGAGCTGATCACTGGTTTTCGTAAAATCAATGAACAGCTCTGTGCGCTGGACACTCAGTTTAGTGGCCTTCAGCTGCTAAATGAGTCCCCTAAGCGTAAGAAATCCGCTGTTTCTGATCCGCCTCAGCCTGCCACCCCAAGGGCTAGAAATGAGAAAAATTCGTCCGAATTTCTCAGGGATAATGAGCAATTGTCCGATATGTCCGCCATGGCATCCCTTCAAGTGATGCCACAAGTCCTAGGGAACGAAACCCCCACAGTCCGGACCACCGGCACCGACTGATGCTGCAGTTCTTGTACCTGCGACACCAAAACCCTTACAGGTGATTTGTACAACAATCCTAATTGTTACCAATTTACAACCCTAAATTGTTTGTACAACATGCATGTAGAACAAGCATAAATCCCAACCACAGCCACATCACATCCTCAACCACATCCACACACACATGCTCGCAGGCGAGACAAACTGGGCCCAAACCAGCTGGCAATTAAAGCCGCTGAGCTTGAGCTTACACACACACGCACCCACAACCTCGTACAGGTGAATCCCATTGTGATGGCTTCATCAAACAGTTGGTTATTGTTTTCCCTGTGTTACCCATTCCCAGACCCATTCCCATAATCGACTTAACCATTGCGACTATAAATCAATGGGCATTGGCGTCCAGTGTCGGACATTTTGTTAAATTTTTTTACAATGCGGCTTTGCTATACAGGTTAAAAAAATAAAACATAATTGATGCTATTGATATTATTTTTGTTGTATATTTAATGCCTGCTCGTAAATATTTTATAGGGAATTTTTAATACAAAGTTACTGTACAAAAATACTGTACAAAATTCAGTTTGTAAAAATTATATGGTACGAAAAAGCATTAAAATGATTTTTATCACATTTTCAAATAGTTTATGGACTCTTGTTTTTATTAAAATCCAATTGTTTTTACTGTACTAGTGGCATCGCGGCTGTTGAATTTATGTTAACCAAAAGCCTTTCTCAATGTTTGCCTTGGCTGCGCCACTGGATGTGTCCTGCTGCTGCCGCTGTTGCTAATGAGCTGTAACCAAAGGCAACAGAAGCGACCACGAGCCAAGCCAGCAATACATTTACAGCAAATTGAATTCTACAATAACTACAGCCACGGCAGACACACATGAGAAAGCCCGCCGGCCGTCAATCACACTCATACACACACACCGGCAAACTTTGGAGAAAGGACCTGATGAAGGGGATGAGGTGAAGCAATGTGTCGTGAGCTGTCGCCATTGTGACTTTTATTGCAGGAGGCAGTTGGCGTTCCTGTTGCCGGTCCTGCTACTGCCAGTGTTTCCACTGCAATTATCAGCTTTAGCTACACCAATTATCAATACAAAAACACTTTAAAAAAATTTGATTACCAAGGAAAAAAAGTTAAGAAAAATATACTACATAAGCTACATAAATAATTGTAAAATAGTAGGCCATTTTGGTACGTTATAGTTTTTTGACATATGAAAATTTATCTACGCATTTAAATTTGATAATTTTTTCCACTGCAAGTCCATGTGCTCACGAAGACAATTTGTCTCGGGCCCACAAAGGTTCTACGGGCAGAGAAAGGACGGAGAAACAGGAGCTGGCAGCTTTAATTGCACAGAACAAAAAACCAGGCTGAGAAAAAACATTGCACTATGTGCCGGCAAACAGCACAAAAAGCCAATTTGGCTTTTGGCTAACACAGGGTCTGAGGACTGAGGGCAGCAAAAGGGACTGAGGGCATAAAAGTAAAAGCCAAATAGCAAAGCTTTCTTTCTTTTCGCACTTGTTGGGAAACACGGTTAACTCAGCGTTGCCAGATAACTAAACACATTTAAGAAAAACAAACTTTGTTTTAAAATGTCGGCATAAGCACATTGTGAACAGTTGTAATATATTGCCAACAATTAAAATTAAGCTACATTTGTTTGTAATGGAGATTACAGCTACTGATTGAGCATATGTCTCTTGTTATATCTTTGGGCATTTGCCGATTTGTTACGTTAGATTTTGAAATTAATTAACAATTAAACGGGAGTAATGTTTAAAAATTACATGAACAATTTGAATGACTTTCGGTGGGAGTGGTTCCATCCTTGTTGCAAAAGTCACACTTAATGATAGCCGCAGATGGATTAGCAATCGCCGGCTCCGATACACAAGTCCTTTTCTTGGAAAAGTTCGGCATTGGTTGATCAGTTACACGCTTTTCATCAGTGCCGTTGGTATTCACATTTGCTATGTCGTCCTGATATTCTTTAAGACGACGGTTGTATTCGCTCCTCGCCTTAGCCGCCTTCTTCTTCCACAAAGACTTTTTCTCATCGGACATCTGACGCCATATTTTGCCACCTAGGGATGCTACCTCAGTCGCCTTATAGTTTGGGAATTTTTTTTTTATCCTTGCTCGCCCGCAAGTACTCATCCAGATCAAAAAGGAACCCATTGGTTTTTTTGGGGGAGGTCCACACCGAGAAGCCATTGCTTATCTAGGTAAAAAAAAAAACAAAAATATTCACATTTCAGAAATTTTTTTTATGCCGTTTGAAAACTTACTTCAAAAAATTTAGATCGTTAATAAAATAAAATTCGGTATACTTTTTCGTTGTGACCTCAAAAAGTGTAAAACTGTCGTGTTGACTCTATGAAATCTCACAACAGACTGAATATTTTATGAGGCTCTCTAAACTACCCAAAATCAGTTGGATGAAATGGACTACTAGATTGAAAAATTTTTTAGATTTCGCAGATTACTTGATTTAATCTTTATTCTTTATTATCCTTATGTTTCGATAAACTCTCAAGGATTTTTCGGCATTAAAGTTTGTTTAAAAAAGTTTTTCGCTTAAATCTGAGGTAACGTTTTAAACAATTTTCGTGCTCCAGGAGCAATGACTTATTCAAAAAAAAAATATCATAAAATTTACTATTCTCAAAGAGAGATAAGCAAGCGAAAACTATTTACCAAATCATCAAAAACCTTAAGTTATCAAAAAACTATCATAAACCTGCCTAAAATTGAATTTTAGGTATTATTTTTTTTCAAATTTATTTTTTGAATTTGAATTTTTAAATATTTTTTTTTAAATTTTTTGAATATTGAAATAATAAATGAAATGACCTTTAAATATGTAAAAATTTCTTGAACTTTTTACACGATTATTTTACATGAAGCGAATTGACAAAAGTGCGTCATGGTCACTCTGAAATCAATCGAAAAGTGAGTCAGGCGGTTCTCGTGCGGTTTCCAGTATTTGATTTATCTCGTTTTTTATTAAAAGTCGCCAAAACACAGAAGAAAATGTCGACCCTGGCCACTCCTTTGTCCATTGCCGGCACCCGTCAATCGGGCGCCTCTGTGCGCACTCAGAACGGTAAGAAACTGATGCATTTGGCAACAGCTGCACAGCGTCGACCGGCGGAGCACGTTTCTTGCTGATCTAATGGTCACACGCCGGGGAGAATGTTCGGGAACAAAAGAGACATGGGCTTTTTCGACGGGATTGTAGTTTTTCCTTAAGATATTCCTGACCTTCAAACTGAAGAAAACCTCAATTTCATCAAAACATGACAAAGTGAGGTTATGACTAAAGGATATTTTCCCCTCTTCCTGTAGTTATGGCTGCCTTGTCCATATCCAACATCGTAAAGAGTTCCCTGGGACCGGTAGGTCTGGA